GTTCCATATCATCTAGGTGAAGGCAGAGCTCCTTGTAATATCGGACGCACATGATGTCACAAGAGCTACCTTGGTCAATCAGGATGCGCTTCACTTGGCACTCCCCAACCTGGAGGGATACTACCAAGGCATCATTATGCGGATGTTGGACCATCTCTAGGTCAGCTTCAGTAAAAGTTATCATTGGTCCCTGGCACTCTTCTGACCGATGTCTTTTCTCCCTGACTTGGTAGACATGTTGCAAGTGCTTCACTTTCTGGGTCTCTCCTTGGATTTCGTTTTCGTTGACCTTCGAGTGGATTACGTTGATTACCCGAGGTCCTCCTGCCTGCGGCTGCTGTGCTGGGGAGGTGGGGCTGCTGGTGCCTGAGGCAACCTTGCCGGTTCTTCCCTTGTCCTGGTCTCATCGACAAGGTCTCTCAGATGTCCTTGTCTCACCAGGTCTTCCAAATATGTTTTCAGGGCTCTACAACCCTGAGTTGTATGCCCATCTTCATTGTGGTAGGCGCAATGTCTGCCAATGTTTCTTCCCATGAACTCTCCTGGAGTCCTCTCTGGCATTCTGAAATAGGATTGGTTCTGAATTTGATCCAAGACTTTGGGAATTGGGATTCGGAACACAGTTGTTACTGCTTGTGTGGCTCTCAGTTCTACCTTGCCTGCTCGTTCTATTGTTACCTCGGCCTCGCTTCGGTGAGCCGTTTCCTTTCTCTTGTTTTATCTCCCTGGTTCCCGACGTGTCTTCTTCGGCTCTGGCGTACTTTTTGATTCTCGCCATGAGCTTCTCCATACTTTTTGGCAATGTCTTTGCCAAAGACTTTCGTAGTGGACAGTTGTCTTTCAAGTCGTTCTTGAAAGATACGACTGCCACCTCTTGGTTACATTCGGGTATTCGATTGAATACCTCATAGTATCTTTTTGCATAGGCCCGAAGGCCTTTATCCTTGCTGATCTTTAGAGCCATCAATGCGTCCACCCTTAATGGCTGCAGCTTGTTTGTTACAAACCTAGCCACAAACATCTCGGCCAGGCCTTCCCAAGTCTTCACGCTTCCCTTTGATAGTTTGTGGAACCAATCTAATGCAATCTCCCCGAAGAATGAGGGGAACACTTTGCAGAGCAACGACTCGTTCCTGCTATACAAGGCCATTGAATTCAGATATAGTCCAACGTGGAAGTTGGGGTCTGAATTACCATTGTATATTTGAAACCTCGGCATACTGAATCGCTTCGGTGCCTCAAATCTATCTAATTCCACTGAGAATGGTGTCCTCGGCTTATCTGGAGAGGTTACCTCGGCTTTGGCATTCTGTTGCTTCCTCTTGAGGTAATCTCTTAAGTCTTCTTTGCTCCGCCCAGGAGCTCGGCTATCTTTCGACTTCAGTCTTTTCGATATACTACTCTCGGCCTCGTGGTGAGCCCTTTTCGATCTTTTTCCATGAGTTGTGTCGAAGCACAGTGCCTACCCCTGAACATGCCGATGTCCTTTAGGGTCTGCCTCCTTTGTGCGATGCATGCTCCGTGATTCTTCTCTTCTTGATTCTCTTCATCCGTCCTCCCTAGAAGGTCGGTGAGAGTATCTCTCGTTTCTGTTGTGCTGAGGGGCTACGGGGATTATTTTTTGTCCTCCCTTCTGGGTATTGGCTGCTGGAATCGGCATGTCCTGCAGCGGGAATGGTGGCTGCATGACGTTATTTTGCATCATGAAATTGACGATCGACTGCAGGTCTGCCAATTTGTTTGCCATCTCTTTTACCTCATCGTCCCTCCGTAGGCACCTATCCTTCCAAATTTGGAGGTCGTCCTCGTTGTAATACCTACTTTGATCTGGTTTCTTTGGTACATCGCCAGTCTGGCCGACGTCTTTTACTCCGTGAGTTTGTTCATGAGTTTCTACATTTGACCTTTCTCCTTCGCCATTAAGGGCAATAGGTCTCCCACTCTCAGTAGGAGTGTCGTCTCCAATGTTTTCCTTCTGTCCGTTACTGGCCATCTATTCTACTTTTGTTCCCACAAACGGCGCCAAATTGTGTGAGTGATTTTCTGACCACACTGCCCGCTTAGTATCCAGCTGGAGAGCACCGGCAGAATAGATGGCACCTGGCTGACCTGCAACAGAAAGAGAAGATTTCGGCGGTGGTTCGTCCACCCGGGGGCACTCCGATGATCAAGTCAGTATATCTCTCAAAGATAAATCAAGTGCTAAACTCAATGCTCAAAGCATAAAATTACGTACCTTAGACCCACGAGGGTGCCTCTCTTTTATAGTTACCTCAATCCTAATCTCAATAGAAGCCTGACTTCTGTGGATTCCTGTTCAGTACTTACTTTGGACTCCTTCAGAGATAAAGATAAACTCCGTAAGAGCTTTATCCTTATCTTGGCTAAGTCTCCTCTTTATTCTAGGACTCTTGTCCCTTATCCGCTTTTCTCGGACTCCGATATCTTCGGAGATAACCTCGACTTTAACCGAGATCACCTCGGTGTCATGGCCCTGACACGTGGCACCTCGGCTGACACGTCGGCGTCACCTTGCCACGTGTCGGTACTCAAAAATATATCCCCATAGATTCTTAGGACACGGGGTTATGTGTAGCAAAGAGATGAACGATGGGTTCATGCAAGGGAGGCGTGGTAGTCGAAGCCATTTACAGGGGGAAAAGACATATTAGAAGTCGGAAGAGATGGTTTGGTGCTGAAATAATGGGAGTAGCAGCTGAGCATCAAGCCTCTGAATTATGATTCAAAGGTTAGTTCGCTAGAGGGCAGAGAGGGGAATCAGTATGAGTTGTTCAGTTGGGAAGAAATAGAGAAGTTTTACGTCGAGTTGGAAACGGCATATTATGGATTTGGCTATCGATCAAATTGTTGTCCAGAAAGAAGAGAGTTTGCAGAAGGTTATCCCACAACAACCTCCTAATGTGCCATGAAGATATTTATGAGCTGGAACTACAGGGGTCTTGGTCATCCCCTGACAGTTCGAGCAGCTCAACAATTAACCAAGAAGCATAGGCCAAATGTATGTTTTTTAATGGAGACAAAGTTATTGGTTCAGCAATCTTAGAAAAATGGATATTTGATGGGGTACAAAAATGGATGTGGAATGGATTGTTGGGGAAGAAGTGGCGGTTTATGAGCAAGGTGGGATGATACTCAAGCCATTTGAGTGGCTCACTGTTCGGAGTGCTTTTTAATTCTGGAAGTCATTGAGGATATTAAAGGTGCATGGTTTATAATTTTGTTGTACAACATCCCACTGTAGTACGGCAGGGGTGGGTTTAGAGTGAGGTGGAAGCTAAAATTAGTGAGTTACAGGCACCATTTGTCATTATTGGGGACCTAAATCAAGTGCAAGGATGGTCAGAGAAGCGGAGTAAGTCTACTAGACCTGTCCCGGGTGTTAATGAGTTCAATGATTTAATTTTTAGAAATCAATTAGTTGATCTGCCCAGCAAAGGGGTTTGGTATACTTGGTGCAATAATCGAAGGCCTGCGGAAGCAATATATGAAAGACTTGATATTGTGTTAGCTTCATGCCGATGGTTTTATGAGTTTAATAGAGCTTCTCTAATTACCCTTTCTATCCACAAATCGGGGTCACAACCCTTTATTGCTAGATATATGCTTTTGGATTGGTACAGGACCAAAATGGAGAGGCTTTGAGGCGACCTGGTTGTTGGATGACACAACCAAAAAGACATAGTAAAGAAGGTTTGGCAATTGCCTTTTCAAGGTTCTAGCCAATTCTCAATGTATCAGAGGCAGTTGGCTGTGATAAAACATTTACAAAATTGGAATTCATTGTCCTTTAGAAGCCTTCAAAGTCAGATAGAGGATGTCCGCTGCCAGCTCCAACAGGCTCAGTTAGTTATTCAACAAGATGAGGCAGTGGCCCGAGAGCAAGGAATTCAGAAGCATTTGGATGATCTTCTTCAAAAATAGGAAGTTTACTAGGCTTAACGGTCTAAGCAGCAGTGGATGAAGTTGGGAGATCGAAATACCAAGTTTTTTCATCGAATGGCCTCATGGTGAAAGACTGGAAATCATATCGGTTTTATTTAGGGACCAGATGAAGTGGCAATTACGGAGCCAGCAAACATTCAACGGGTGTTTGTGAAGCATTTTAACATTCAACGGGTGTTTGTGAAGCATTTTAAAAGTTTATTTTCAAGCGTAGATTCCTCCATTGCTAATCTATAGGAATCAGGTTCTTTTCCTAACCATTTTAATATTTTGAGTGTAGTTAAAAGTAGACTAAATTCAAATCATTTAGAGGTGTTAGATGAATCTTTCTCACTGGATGAGGTAAAACAGGTTTTATTTCAAATGGGTAAAGTTAAGGCTCTGGGGCCTGAGGTTTATAACAGGTTTTTATCAAAAGTATTAGGTGGATGTGGGGTAATTCGTGGTTAATGTAGTACTTAGTTTTCTTAATTCGAGTTTTTTACTTAAGGATTTGAATGAAATGTTTATATGTTTAATCCCTAGAAAGAAAAACCCTTTACTCGTTTATGATTATAGGCCCATTACTCTTTGCAATGTTTTGTATAAAATTGGGGCCAAGGTTCTGGCAGATCGGCTTCGTGTGGTGTTGCCAGATTTGATTCTTTGTAATCAGAGTGCTTTTTTGACAAGAAGGTTAATATCAGATAATATTCTTTAAGTTCATGAGCTGATTAAACATATCAAACACAAATGAGTAGGCCGAAAATCTGAATTTGGACTGAAATTAGATATGAACGAGGCTTATGATAGGGTTAATTGGGAGTTTCTAGTGGCTACTATGCGTAGGCTGGGATTTAGTGATATGTGGGTCCAGTTAATTTCACAATGTGTTTGGACACTAACTTTTTCATTACTAATCAATGGCCAACAATCTGAATCTTTCATTCTCAAGGCAGGCCTTAAACAAGGGGGCCCACTTTAACCTTATCTCTTTTTTGTTGAAAATGCAAGTTTTGTTGGAAGGATTTGATCATCTTAGTAATCAAGGGATTTGTAAAGGCACAAAGATTAGAAGACAGTCACCACCGGTTTCCCATTTGCTTTTTGTAGATGATTGTTTCATTTTTTTGAATTTGAAAATGTAGGAGGTTTGGTGTTTACAATGGTTTTTGAGTGCCTTTTGTGCTCAAAACAGGTCTGCGTATTAACTTTCATAAGGCGGAGTTGTATACCAGTCCAAATATGCCTTCAGTCCATCAAGATTTTTTTGTTTTGGTGTTCGAAGTTAAGGTAATGCCAAAACCAGGCATTTACCTTGGTGCAAACTTCGGATTTGCAGGTAAATCAAAGGGGGAGATTTTTAAGTCTATTATTCACAAGGTGCAGGGTAAACTTCAAGGTTGGAAGTGGGGGCTTCTGAATTTTGCAAGGCGGTATGTGTTTATTAATCATTTGCTTCATTCCATCCTTGTGTATTTGATGTCGGTCTTCAAGATGCCGCTGTCCTTTCTTAGTAAGCTCACAGCTATAATTCGGAAATATCTTTGGTACTCAAATAAGCAAGGTGGAATTTGTTGGAAGCGTTGGCAGCTGGTGTGCCTTGGGATTTAGGGATTTGTTTTGTTTCAATCAGGCATTGCTTTTGCAAGCATGGCGAATGTTGTCGAACCCCAATTCGTTGTTGGCTAAGGTATTGATAGGCAAATATTGTACCCATCAGAATTTCCTAGCAATGCAGGATTCTAAGAAAGGCTATTGGGGTTGGAGAAGTATCTTATGGGGTAAGGAATTTTTGGTCTCAGGTTTGCAATGGGTAGTTGGAGATGGTAACAAGACTAATCCTTTGGAGGATCTGTGGATCCCATCCATTAACAATTCATTACGAGGTAGGGGTCTTTCGTAGCTCTTTCCAGCTATGCATTTGGAACATTTTATTGATAAGGAAAATCATTGTTGGAGGTACAACTTGATTAGACTTTTTTTTTTTCCAAAAAACACTGTTGGTAATATTCTAACTATACACATTCCGTTTAATGCTCATGAGGACAAACTGGTATGGAGCCCAATGAAGAGTGGGGAATATACAGTTAAATTGGGTCATAAGCAAGCTTTAGCTAGGTATTATCCCTCACTTAGAAACAACATATCTGAAGGAGTAGTGTGGAAGAAGTTGTGGCTACTTAACATTCCATCCAAATAGACTGCTTTTATTTGGAAATGTCTTCATTGCATATTACCAGTGCAGTGGGAACTTAGAAGGAGAGGTATAGGGGATGAATGTGATATGTGCTAGGTGTCAACTGAGTGTAGAAACATTGGAACATGTGTTTTTCAATTGTTCGTTTTAGCTAAGGATATGGAGGGGTTCATCATTAGGGCTTGATTTCAATACTGGAGTACCAGAATCCTTCTTCATGTGGTTCAATAGTTGGATAAAGCAAGTTCAAGATGAGGAAATTATTGTTCAGTCGGTGGCCTTACTTTGGGCCATTTGGTTACAACGTAACAGCTATGTTTTTAATCATAATAGGATGTCGATTGCTGACACAATTGAGGTAGCAAATGTTTGCTTTAGTGCAGCTACGCAATGCATCAAATTAAGACCAATTGCATACTACTTTAACAGCGCAGAGGAATTAGATGCACAAGCTAATGAGTGTGTTTTGCAGGAAGTTGTAGATCAAGATGGAGGATTGCGGCAGTGGATTTTTGTCATTGATGGTTCTTGGAGAAATAGTGGACGACAGGCTACTGATGTAGCTGGAGTAGCATGGATTTGTTTTGATGCTCACAATCAATTAGTGTCCCAGGAAGCATTGGTACTTCACTTAACACTATCTCCTTTAATGGCTGAAGCTAAGGCATGTTTAGAGGCCATTCGATGGGCTGCGAGGAGAAAATTACGTAAACTTATTATAACTAACTGTCAAGTTTTGGTAAGGTTACTTCAGCAAAAAGGGATGGAAATGGAATGGCAGGTTGCGTTAATTATTAATGATATATTATATTACAACAATGATAGAGCACTAGAGCTCTCTTTAGAATTCCAAAATTAGAGCTCTCAATCATTATTCATTATATTATAATAAGTTTTTATTTTCTCTTAGTATAGTTAAGGTTTGGAGGAATATAATCAAACCACCCATAAACTAGCAACTAATGCAATTAGTTGATTTATGTATATTATATGTGTTTCATTCTCCAAAAAAAAAAAACTATGTTTTGGGGCTCCACAACCGTTATGTTGACAAAAAAAAAAATAAAAAATAAAAAAACCATTTTTATGGGCCCAAATAAACCAATACATAGCTCTAATTAGTGTTGGCATTGTATTGTATTGGCTCATGTTATTTTGGGTTTGTATTATAATCATTTCAATATTAATCCAATTCGTTTATTATTTTGTGTTATCATATCATTTTATTTTCGGTCCATGTTCGGTCTGTGTCACGTTAATGTGTTAAACTAAAAATATCAAGTCTATGAAAACAATATCCACAAAATAAATTTAATGAAATTATTCTCTACTGATTAAAATTATTCATAAGAATATTTTATTTTAACTCAATTTTAATTTTCTAATTTATAAAAATTTCTTATTATTATTATTATTATTATTATTATTTTACTAGATTAACTATATAATAGTAGACAAAATACATTATATTCAATTAAAAAAATTTACATTAGTTTTAAAATGTTATTTTACATACTTTTTAATAAGTCAGAGTTATATAAGGGATTAAAAAAAATTTAATAATTGTTTAAGAATATTTTTTAATCAACTAGCAAATAAAAACCACGCCAATCCGCCTAAATCGCGGTTTGGTTATTTGTCAATTTGTTATTCACGGTTCGGTTTTAATATTACTATCAAATTGCTCGAATTGCCCCGCATACACCCCTACATGTGATCAATGGACTAGAGCAAAGAAGCAACAAAGAAGTGATAGGACCTAAATAGTAGTGTGAAGACTCTTTACCTAATAATGAACACTAACTACTTGTAAAAAGTATAAATGAAAATCGATAAGATGTCTCTTGTGATGCAGAACTCGTTGGAGGAAGACAAATACAACCTCACAAACAAAAATGAATAATAGAGCCCTTTTGCCTCCCTTTGGAGTTGCTCCTAGACTATATAATGAAGTTTTGACTGGGTTTTGGCCTAAAATTTGAAGCCCCACCTTGCCCTCTGGCCATAACTGATGCTCCATTGACCCAACTTGTGAGCTCAATAGAAAATATGAATATATATATATATATATATACATACTAGAATCTTGACCTGTTAGTTTGTGAGAGGGTGCTCGCTGACTCGATTCATGAGCTCATATAGATTGATCTCATTGGGCAAGCCTTGCATATCATTTTGGCAGCTCGACTTAACTCAATGTCAATCCTTATTAGTCAAGTTAGGCATACAACCACATGATATTCTAGAAATATGAGATAGTTTATAGAGTATAGTGAGAACATGTCTTTTTAACACAATGAATTTTACTTTCTCTTCTAAGGTTTGCAATGAGATGACAATGGAGAGGTGCAGGGAGTGGCAGGGCGAAGGTGGGTTTGTAGTGCCCCGCTCTAGCCCCATATCATGTTAGGGGTGGGACAAAGAAGGGAGGTGGCAGGCAAGGCTAGCCCTAAACTTTTCAGAGCATAAAGTGAACATTCAAATAAAGACCCTTGATATCTCACACTTAAAAAGAAAATTGTTAATGAAATAATTAATATTTACAAATTATTTTTATTTTTTTAGTATCCACACAAAATTTGTTGAATATAATTTACTAAAATATAAAGAAATCATTACAAAGACTAAAAATAAATAAAAATCTAATTTTGTTGCTTTATTATTTAGCAAAATTCAAATTACAAAAAATTAAAGGTAAATCAAAATATAAAGCTATAATACCAAAAATAATTTATCCAAATGCAGCAAAGTGATTTCTTTATTCATGGCAAAGCACAAAGATCAAGAATTTTGAAATGTTATTGTTGATGTAATTGTTGATAGTGGGCTCTCTTATTTCTTTCAGTTGCTAACAAGGAGAAAAATTTTGGCTTTGCTTTTGGTTTGGGCCCTTTTGCCTTTAGTTTGGGCCTTTCTAATTGTATTTTAGTTTTTGAGCATTTTTGCCTTTAATTTGGGCTTTTCTAGATATATTTTAATTTTGGAGAACTTATTGATAAGTCTCATACACAAAGTTCAAAATTCATCTAATTTTAAAACAAAACACTGGCATCAATTAGTTTTACATATTTTTAATTGTTACCAAAAAATCTTATTTTTTTAAAAAAAATAAAAAATTAAAGACACTACTACATCTCACCACTGCCGAACTTCCGTAAGAAGGTCACCAAAGACTCACCACAATGTTCAACATCATCGGAAAGTCCCCAGAATATCATCAAAAATTCGTCGGAGTATTGTCGGAATGTTCTGAACGTCGCCGGAAGTCTTCAGAATATCTAGAATGTTCGCTGGATATCAAGAAAATCGTCGGATACTCATCAGAATGTCCAGAATATTGTCAAAAAAGAAGAAGAATAAACTGAAAAATTAAAATGAAAAAATATAACAAAATGTGCTAAATATTGATAATTTGAAAGAAGAAAAAAACATAACAGCAGCAAATAGCAACAACGGGAATATATATATATATATATATATTATTTTTCAATTTTTGTAGGGTTTGAGCAAATAATATCCAATATTGATCAAACTGAAAAGTAAGCTTTGAAATTGTAAAATGTTACAGTTTCAAAGCATGATTTTATTAAGCATCTATCCTTATTAATCAAACTGAAAAAACATGTTATGAAACTATAAAATTTTACAGTTCTAAAGAATGTTATGAAATTACAAAATTTTACTGTTTTAAAGCATGATTCATTTCATAACCAAAAAAACTAAAACTGTAAAATTTTACAGTTTTCACTGCCTATAACTAAAACTCAAAAACAATTTGTTCAGAATTTGAAAATTTTCTCCATTAAAATAGGAAAATAGAAGTGTGTAGTAGAGAAAGGTAGAAAAATTGAGAGATCAAAATAAAGAAACAAATATATAGATAAGATTGTACTCCGACAACTATTTTTTGTTTAGATCTAATCGGATCTCATGTAGATCTACTCACATAAGATTCACTACAAGGAAATCGAGTTTTACTAGCGTTTTTTATTGCAGCTGCCCGAAAAACGCTGCTATAAATGGGTTATTGTAGCGGTTGTTGGCCACTGTTAAAAAATCCAGTTTTAGTCACAATTTTTTCCTAAAGTGCTGTTATATATTTTTTTTGTAGTGACAGTTTGGACTCAACCGCTACAATAAGACCAGGAAAATAAACGGGCACCAAAATAAATCTAATTTTGCGCTCAGATTTGTTTTTTTTTTTGTTTTTTTTTTTTTTTTGGGGAAACAACTGATAAGTAATTCCTTCATAAAACTATTATGAGAAACTCATAAATCCCTAAAACCTATTCTCTCATCTTCAAATCATAAGTTAATGAACTTTTAACCATTTGTTGAAATATAAACCCTACTTATCCCCTCCACACATAGAGTTGATAAAAAAGGTATATAGCACGTATAATTGCAACAATAATGTTATAATTATCATCTTTTTATACCATTTTTAATGTATCACCTCACGTGTTAATCTTTCTTTCTTTCTTTCTTTTTTTTTTTGTCTTTGTTTTTGTTTTGTTTTTTGTGGTATTAGTGTACTTATGCTTCTCCTTTGGTTTTTGACACATTACTTTGTTGAAAGAATGTTATCTATATTGATATGTTAACAGTGAAATATTTTCCATTTTGACCCCACTAATTTCATTCAATTATGAGCAGGACTCTTTCACACGTTGTTTCAAGTCAATTCCTCCAGAACCTTGGAACTGGAATGTGTATTTGTTTCCGCTCTGGTGTTTGGGGGTGGTAGTTAGATATCTGATCCTTTTCCCAATGAGGTAAGCCTTTTATACTGTTGAATGACAATTCCTTTTTTTATTTAGAGCATGAAGAAATAAAGAAAGCAAAATAAATTTTGAGGAGACATTTTGGATGTTTTTTGGTTTTGTTTCTTTTTGGTTCAAGGTTCAATTAATACTTATTCTATGTGAATATGACTTTCTATTATAGTGTGCATATCTACAAATGTAGTGCTAAGAAGCATGAACACTTTTAAATTGTCAAATGCTCTATTTATTTATTTATATTTATTGTTTTTAATTTGATGCAATGATTCTGCATATCTTGGTGACTTGATGTAATTATGTAAGTTTAGGGGAATCAGTTGAGTCATCCGAAAGGAATGACTTATTTTTCTAGTTTAACATTGTTTTCACAGAACAGCTGTTTGGGGAGTTATTATGTGATTGCTTTTATTTTATGGGTCTTCAAATTATTGTTTGCTATGAATGTTACCTTCCATATTTGATGCATCTCATTTGATTATGCATGGTTCTAGTATTGACAATAGGATGGATAGTATTTCTTGCAGCATTCTTTCCAGTGCATGTCCTATTGAAAGGGCATGATAAGTTGAGGAAAAAGCTGGAGGTATGGTTGATTGCTAGTTTACTTGAGGCTCTTTGCTATTGTTTCTTGTCTATTTGTACATGCACTATTGTTAGAGTAGGCACTTAAAGGTCTGGTTTTGATTATTTTTATGGCCTGATGGTTATGTTTTGAAGTTGTTGATCTGTGTATTGACATGTCAATTATTATGCATTGTTGAAAGACCTTAGTGAATTTTGTATAAAATTTTGAGGATAATTTGAACTATTGGCATTAGAAAATTCTGAAATGTCAATGATATTGTGGCATGTATTGATATGTGAATGTGCATGCATGCACCGCCTTATCACTTACAGCTAACATATGACTTCTTAGTTTTACACTGACTTTATTTCTTGTTAGATCTGCAATTCGTAATAGCCATTGCATCACTTGCCTCTTCCATACACAGTGCTCTGATTTGCGAACTGGCGATTTGAGAGCAAAAAATAAGGTCAAATCCATGAATTCACTTGGATTTGACTAATTCTCTTTTACTTCTACTCTGCTTCTTTTATTTTCCATCTAATGTGATTTACATACACAATGAAAAAAAAAAAGTTGTGTAATCGGAGTTTATTGATCAATTAAATGTACTGATTGCAATCACTGCATTAAGTGGCATCTTCTCTAATCCCAGTTTAGTTTGAGATGTATTTCTCTATTGAAATACTGTGAATTGTGGCATCTTGTCCTCTCTTATTATTATCATTGTTAAAGTCAGAATTTGAGTATCCCCTTTCATTAGACCAGACAAGCATTTATTGCTTTCATTATTTTCTTTTCAGAGGTGTCTGGTGGAGTTAATTTGCAGCTTTTTTGTTGCATCTTGGACTGGGGTTGTCAAGTACCATGGACCACGGCCTAGCATGAGGCCTAAGCAGGTATCTGTGAATTATTTTTTCTTTTTGGTGTTTCCCCAAAGTTCTTCAAATGTTAGTATAATAAATCAACCTTCATGTGTTTAATTTTATATATATGTCTGAACTTCCATTGCTATGATGTGTGCAGGTTTTTGTGTGCAATCATACTTCAATGATTGATTTCATTATTTTAGAGCAAATGACTGCATTTGCTGTTATTATGCAGAAGCATCCTGGATGGGTTGGTAAGTGTCTAGAGCAAGAACACATCAAATATTTGGTGAAGCATTCTTTGCTGATGTATCTTGTTTCTGCATTTTACATGCCCTAATAAGAAATATACTGAAGTGCCCTGAAAATTTGGGTGCATTTTAAGCACCAAGATTTTCATCCTTGCAAGTTATCCTCTTCATGAACTTATATTCTCGTCAATCATCATCTCATGTTATTTTTTCTCATAAACCATCAAAAAGAACACTTCCCATCATTTTTATAATGAGTTGTGTTTGAAACATACAAATATAAGTAGCATAGTATGACAACATTTATCTTGAAAGGAAGCTAGTAGAAATCAAACAAACTTTTATTATGTCATCCCAAGGAGTTGGACACAAATACATATATATACAAATAGAGGACAAACATGTATGCATGTGAAATTTTATATCTAAATTTTTGGGTTGTTTGTTGAATGAGAAATATGAGACAGTATTGAAAGTTGATTAGTTGTTATTGTGGCATATTTATTTATTCAATTAGCAATTCTCCATGCATTTTTGGAAATTGAAATTGATGGGTTACTTCAAAAAACTATTTTGAATTGTTTGCTATGGGTTTGAATGTTGGTTATTTTATTGAAGAAACATGTTAGATGTACTTTGAATAATTAAAAGAGATATGAGGGTGAATTGGATAGAGAAGATGGTGTACACTCAAAAGAACTTCCTATAAAAATCCTGTGTTTCTATCCCTTCGGTCCATCAATGATATTGTAAGCTACTTTCTTTGGAGTTTCTAGCATTCTCAAGAACCACAATGGCAAACAATACCAAAAATTATATTTTCATTTATTTTCTGTTGCTCCATTTTCTTTGAACCAATTGGACTTGGGAATTTAGTTTTCAAAAAAGACATGCTTTTTTATAGGCAACTCATAGGCATAATATTTATTGGTTAAAATTGTGAGATTCAATAGGTTTTATTAAAAGTTTGGAGAACTTGATGAGTGTCAAGTGATAAGAGATATGGAATAATGCTCTAAGACCACCAAATAATCACTCGTCTATGTTGTATTATGCAATTTATAGAGTTTCAACTTGAAAATGATACTTATGCTCATTTAATCATTTTTATTGCAGGAAACAGGACAATATGAAAGCATCAACATCGAAATCATTTTTATTACAGGAAATAGGACAATGTGAAAGCATCAAAATGGACACCGTTTCTTGATTTGAACATTTTTCATGGAGGTTTTTATAAAATGGCGACATGAGTAATACTTGAGTACTATTCTCATGTGACAAGTTTATATGTACCTTTTGGATTATGGTGTAACTATTAGTTTTCTAGAAACATTTGATCTATTTTGATACGACAAGCTTATGTAATAAACCTTTTAATTGAGGTGTTTTGGATATTTTGAGATTATGAAAACATGAACTGTTTTACCCTTTACAATTATTGACTATTAAGCCATTAGAATAACGTAGTCCTTTTATAGATATATAATGGTGATTATGTAAGTAGAGATAATGGTTAGCAAACCATTAAAAATTTCAAACTATATATTATTGGTAATTGAATAATAAAATGTAGCTTATAATCGTGGTTAATAACCGTCGCTACAAATAAAATTCAAAAAAATTCTATGGCTATAGTGACAGTGTGAAACTGATGGAATAGACTCAAAATATAGTAGCAGTTGACAAAATGTCGCAAGCACAGGTTATAGCAGCAGTCAGACCGTCACTATAAAGGTATCAAGCAATGGGTAAATTTGAGATATAGCGACATTTATAACCGTCATTATGCTAACCATCTCAAGAGAAATATTTATACCAGCGGTTGATAAAAGTGTCACAATAAACCTATGCTGACGGGTCTATAGCGGCGGCTTGGTCGTCGCTATTCAAACCGCAGGTAAAAGTGTTCAAGTTTTTAGCGACGCTTTTTGTTACTTTTAGTGGCGGTTTTGGCCGCTGCTACATGTCAATTTTTTTTGTAGTGATTTGAGTAGATCTATTTATCTTCTTTGCCAGAAACTTGTCTCTTTCGCCATTGGTGAGGGTGAAGTAAGGAATCGGTGGTCGGTGGTTGCCGGTGAACCCCAATCAATGGTGGTCATCGGTCGTCGGTCGCCGGTCGCCGGTGACTATTTTTAAGAAAGAGAAAAAGAAGAAGGCATGGTCGCCCGTCGCCGAAAAGGAAGACAAAAAAACAGAGAAGACCGAATGCATAGAGATAAATGAAGAGAAAAATATGTAAGGGACTTTTGAGAGTATCCAAAAGGTTATGGAACTAAACAAACTTCTCTATTTTATATAGGACTTCTAAGTAATTTGCCCTTTAATTTTGGACTATGTATAGGTGGTACAAATATTTGGGACACTAATATTGGGCTATTTTCTGGGGGGCCAAAGCAGTTGCTTTCTTGCTTCTACCCAGAGTCAACCCTAGTGGCAGGGCAGGGGGAGTGGGTTCATTTTGTTACTTTAGGAATTAAAAATATGAGAGATAATATAATATATTATGAATGATAACTTATAAATGATGCAAGTTAAAATATGTAAGATGTGAGATAAATAAGTAAATCAAAATGTTAAGTATAATATTTTAATATATAATCTTTTTACATTTAAAAAAAATTAAATTATATGTAATATACATATAAATATATATAATAAATATAATCGGGGTGCGCTAAGGTAAAAAAATACACTGTTTTCTTCTTGTATGAAAAAAAATGTGCCTAAATATGTAACAAGTTATTGTTTGATGAAATTCCTTAGTAAAACTCTTCTTCTTTTTTTTTTCTTTTCTTTTTATTCTCTTTATCTCGTATTCCAATTTGTACGAGGTGGGGGTTGAGGATGACCATCACAGTCCAAGTTGATTTAGTGGTTAGGGTTAGGAATTAAGAGCATCAGGGGTGATACACGACCAAGGTAAGGAATAGTACCGTAAGCATAACATTTTACCTTACTGAATCCTCTCAGTCTAAATTCTAGTTTCACCACTACATATACTTACTACATATACCTAGTTTCACCAATTGGTTTTGTTTTTATACTTATGGATCCAAATTATACAGTTAGCACAATTAGGAAAATATAGAGTACTACTGGAGGCTGTCAACATTTTCCATCGTTGAGCAAATGGATCCCATTGTGGTATAAAATTTAGTTATTAAATGATTTTTGATTTTATTATTATTATTATTATTATTATTATTATTATTATTATTATTATTATTATTATTATTATTATTATTATTATTATTATTTTTTTTTTTATTATTATTATTATTATTATTATTATTATTATTATTATTATTATTATTATTATTATTATTATTATTATTATTATTATTATTATTATTATTATTATTATTATTATTATTATTATTATTATTATTATTATTATTATTATTATTATTATTATTATTATTATTATTATTATTATTATTATTATTATTATTATTATTATTATTATTATTATTATTATTATTATTATTATTATTATTATTATTATTATTATTATTATTATTATTATTATTATTATTATTATTATTATTATTATTATTATTATTATTATTATTATTATTATTATTATTATTATTATTATTATTATTATTATTATTATTATTATTATTATTATTATTATTATTATTATTATTATTATTATTATTATTATTATTATTATTATTATTATTATTATTATTATTATTATTATTATTATTATTATTATTATTATTATTATTATTATTATTATTATTATTATTATTATTATTATTATTATTATTATTATTATTATTATTATTATTATTATTATTATTATTATTATTATTATTATTATTATTATTATTATTATTATTATTATTATTATTATTATTATTATTATTATTATTATTATTATTATTATTATTATTATTATTATTATTATTATTATTATTATTATTATTATTATTATTATTATTATTATTATTATTATTATTATTATTATTATTATTATTATTATTATTATTATTATTATTATTATTATTATTATTATTATTATTATTATTATTATTATTATTATTATTATTATTATTATTATTATTATTATTATTATTATTATTATTATTATTATTATTATTATTATTATTATTATTATTATTATTATTATTATTATTATTATTATTATTATTATTATTATTATTATTATTATTATTATTATTATTATTATTATTATTATTATTATTATTATTATTATTATTATTATTATTATTATTATTATTATTATTATTATTATTATTATTATTATTATTATTATTATTATTATTATTATTATTATTATTATTATTATTATTATTATTATTATTATTATTATTATTATTATTATTATTATTATTATTATTATTATTATTATTATTATTATTATTATTATTATTATTATTATTATTATTATTATTATTATTATTATTATTATTATTATTATTATTATTATTATTATTATTATTATTATTATTATTATTATTATTATTATTATTATTATTATTATTATTATTATTATTATTATTATTATTATTATTATTATTATTATTATTATTATTATTATTATTATTATTATTATTATTATTATTATTATTATTATTATTATTATTATTATTATTATTATTATTATTATTATTATTATTATTATTATTATTATTATTATTATTATTATTATTATTATTATTATTATTATTATTATTATTATTATTATTATTATTATTATTATTATTATTATTATTATTATTATTATTATTATTATTATTATTATTATTATTATTATTATTATTATTATTATTATTATTATTATTATTATTATTATTATTATTATTATTATTATTATTATTATTATTATTATTATTATTATTATTATTATTATTATTATTATTATTATTATTATTATTATTATTATTATTATTATTATTATTATTATTATTATTATTATTATTATTATTATTATTATTATTATTATTATTATTATTATTATTATTATTATTATTATTATTATTATTATTATTATTATTATTATTATTATTATTATTATTATTATTATTATTATTATTATTATTATTATTATTATTATTATTATTATTATTATTATTATTATTATTATTATTATTATTATTATTATTATTATTATTATTATTATTATTATTATTATTATTATTATTATTATTATTATTATTATTATTATTATTATTATTATTATTATTATTATTATTATTATTATTATTATTATTATTATTATTATTATTATTATTATTATTATTATTATTATTATTATTATTATTATTATTATTATTATTATTATTATTATTATTATTATTATTATTATTATTATTATTATTATTATTATTATTATTATTATTATTATTATTATTATTATTATTATTATTATTATTATTATTATTATTATTATTATTATTATTATTATTATTATTATTATTATTATTATTATTATTATTATTATTATTATTATTATTATTATTATTATTATTATTATTATTATTATTATTATTATTATTATTATTATTATTATTATTATTATTATTATTATTATTATTATTATTATTATTATTATTATTATTATTATTATTATTATTATTATTATTATTATTATTATTATTATTATTATTATTATTATTATTATTATTATTATTATTATTATTATTATTATTATTATTATTATTATTATTATTATTATTATTATTATTATTATTATTATTATTATTATTATTATTATTATTATTATTATTATTATTATTATTATTATTATTATTATTATTATTATTATTATTATTATTATTATTATTATTATTATTATTATTATTATTATTATTATTATTATTATTATTATTATTATTATTATTATTATTATTATTATTATTATTATTATTATTATTATTATTATTATTATTATTATTATTATTATTATTATTATTATTATTATTATTATTATTATTATTATTATTATTATTATTATTATTATTATTATTATTATTATTATTATTATTATTATTATTATTATTATTATTATTATTATTATTATTATTATTATTATTATTATTATTATTATTATTATTATTATTATTATTATTATTATTATTATTATTATTATTATTATTATTATTATTATTAT